AGCATGGGTCAGTCTGGCTGCGAAGCCATCACTCTGCCACGCTGCCTACTCATTATCCAACCCTGGCTGAGTTTTAAAAAAATGTTGCTAGTTTTTGAGAATGAGTAGGAAAGGTGTTGGGACAAGATGTGCCTGAATAGACACGTTGGTTACACTACAGTGAGTAGATAACCCTTCTGAAAAATCAAGTCTTCGGGATGACGGAATCACGACTGTTCTGCTTGTTTTTCTGTTGCTTCTAGAATAATTACAGGTTTTTCTTTAACATGTTTGATCATTAACTGAAAATAAGGGCAGTTTTTTTTCCTTGTTAAAGGAAAGAACACATTTACTGTAAGAACTGCTGATGCATACAGAAGTGGCCAAGATGTCCCAAAGCTGTCTGAGAAGGTTCAGATCTGTGCTGCAGTTCACTGGGTTCGGGACCTTGGTCTGATCACTTCTGTTATTGTTTCTGGTCTGTGAAGTTGGAAATAGCCTACACCATTCGATTTTGGTAGGATAAGAGTTAATAGCCAGAAGCCTCCAGGAAGTGACCCAGAGATAGTTGGCATTTTAATCATGATCTCCTGGTCTTCCTTTCTGAGCCTGCGTGTGTTAAGGTATATGCTACTGTGTCTATGTTAATGAAAAAATGTTTTAAAACCAGCTGTGGGTTTTGTCAATTGACATATCTTGGCCACCTATCCTTACTTCTAAATAACTTCCACCATTGCCTGACAGCTGCCTACAATCTAGGATGGTTAGCGTAAGTGGGATTGAATCTGTGTTATGGCAGGTGTGTGTGTGTGGGTGGGGTGGGGGGGGGAAGCAGGCACAAACTTCTAGTCTCCAGCTAACATAGGCATTTTAAAACAAGTATGTGATAACTGGGCGTTGATGGCGCACACCTTTAATCCCAGCACTCAGGAGGCAGAGGCAGGCGGATCTCTGTGAGTTCGAGGCCAGCCTGGTCTACAGAGCAAATTCCAAGAAAGCCAGAACTGTTTCACAGAGAAACCCTGTCTCGAAAAACAAAAACAAAAAAATCCCAAGTATGTGAACATTGCCACTTTGGGTGATAGGGGCTCCCCTGCTTTCCGGAGCATTCCTAACCCTTGCTTCCAAGCTCCCTGTGCAGTAAGGATAGGGAAGGATTCCTTCGAAGCTCAGAGCCTGGCTTGATTCCCTGCAGCAGTCAATTTAGATGCCAGCCCTCAGTGGGGGAACTCTGATCCTGGCTCTCTTTAAAGTTGGAAAAATGGTGCTACTACTGCATTTGATCTGATCTTTGGGTGCACAGGAAGTCATCATTCAGAGCTCTCCAAGAAGCCACCATTTATAGGGTCCAGAGGTAGAGCTGTACCCTTGTTTCCCAGGCTGGACTGCCATGCCCCACCTCCATGGAGGCGAGCCACAGTCATTGGCCTTTAGTTTGGGGAGTTTCTGGTGATGCACTTACTGACACCTTTACTCTTGCTGCATTCAGACTGTTAGAAAACATTGATTGGTTCTCTTTTTAAGCCTCTCCCCCACTAGCAAACCAGTAAGCCACATTTGCAAACCTCTTGCAAACCTCCATTCCCCACTTCAGGTACATTGTAAATGCAGATTCTAGGGATTCACTCGTCCATTCAGTTTGACCTTCAGAGGGTGAAAGGATGCTCTACAGTGTGACCTGGGACTGAAGTCTTGCATGGAATACGCTTCTGAGAAGGTTCATGGCTGTAGTAATATCCCTTTCTTCCCATCATAAACCATCTGTTTGAGACTTGGCAGCTTAGTTGAGCTACCTTCCAAAGAAACCCACCTGTCCTGAGGACACTGTTGATTGAGATCAGATGCAGCACCTTCCCCAATATATTTAAGGGAAGGGCTCCATCTTTACCCTCTAATCATTATTGAGGAAGATCTAAGATGCTATTGGGGCAGTGTGTCTACCAAAATTCTAGAGCAGCCTCTGTGGCTTTGAGAGGTGTGCTGAGATGCAGAGAAATAACTCACATATTTCCCAGCAGGGAAGCTCAGAGCACAATGGCTCTCTCCAGTGTTGCCCACAGTGCTTTATAATTAGTTTCCTTCGGACACCCTCCCTGGGAGAAAGGTTAAGAAGCAATACCCTCTTTCCACTGTGAAACTATGAAACTCTGAGAGGTTAATTGGCTTGCCTTGGGTTGGCCAACTCAGTGGAGGGATTTCCTCAACACATCACTCCTACTTTTCATGCCAAAACCAGGGCTGCCTCAGGGAGGGCCTCAGTAGAAGAGGGAAGGATGGAATACCCTTGCTCACCATACTTTTTTTTCTCTTTATATTTCTTATTTATTTATTTATTTATTTATTTATTTATTTATTTACTGAGACAGGGTCTCTCCTGTAGCCCAGCTGCCCTCTGACTCACTGTATGAACTTCTGATCCTCCTAACTACGCCTCTTGAATACTGGCATCACAGTGACACATGGATGCATCTGGGTGTACAAGCCTAGGACTGAACTCAGGGTTTGTGTTGTGTATGGTAGGTAAGTACTCTATAAACTGCTCTGCATCTCCAGCCGCTACTTCCCATGCGCCTTCTTACTACAGCCATGAACCTTCTCAGATGCAAGGAATCCAGTCTATCAGCTTTGTTTTTGCAGTCCTGTTTGGGGTTGCTGAGACAGTGGTTGAAGTGGTGTCCTTCAAATCACAGACCTGGATCCATGACCTGGATGTGGCATTGCTTCCTTGAACTAGGCTGCAAGCATGATGGAGAGCAGAAAGAAATTATTATTGGCTCAACTGCCCAGTCTTGACAGGGACCCTTTGTGTTTGAGATGCAAACCTGACATCCACAGATGGCTTCAAAATCTGATGTTGTTTTCTCCCTGTAATTCATGTGTTGGGCTTTTTGGTAGAAGTGCTGCCAAGTTGTCCCTGGTACACATTCTTGTGAAAGTTGGTCTATAGTTATAGACACATTGCAATGTATGTAGTTAGACTTTGGAAATGGCCTCTAACACAGCAGGCCCTAGCATCTCTTCCTCTTGCTTCCAACAAAACTGCCACAGCCTGACTCATCTTGACTTAGTTCTTCGAGAGCTGCAGCAGCTCCTGGCCAAGCTGAGTGTGCCTTTGAAGACGCAGTCTTAGATAAGAAGTTGCCATGTTGATGTTTGTTATTCTTGTGGCCTGAGTGTACTTTCCCTCTGGGTCCATAAAGGCTCTCCAATAATTAGCTAAATACTTGTGAGAATATTACAGGGCAGGCTTCATAAAAGGGAAGAAAGCATGGGACTTTGAGACAGCAAAATTGGCTTCCTGTCTATACTAGAGTTTTGATAGACTAGAGAGAATTGTTATTAGGGCTTTTATTTTCTTTTTAGCTTTACATTTTTTCAGCTGTAAAAGTATTTTTTGTTGTTATTATTTTTGTTTTGTTTTGTTTTTGTACCCCCCACCCCTTCCTCTGGTGACTGTGTTTAGAAGTATCCAGTGCAGACGGACATTTCTGTCCTTCCGGGTCCTACAGTCCTTCAGTCCCAAACACACAGAGGCTTATATTAATCATAAACTGTTTGGCTTCTGGCTCATACTTTTTATTGGCTATCTCTATCTTAATTATTAACCCATTTCTATTAATCTGCATATTTCTACATTGTGTTGGCTTACCAGTGATGCCTGAGCCTATTGCTTCCTTGACAGCTACATGGCATCTCTTTGTGGACTCACTCTCTGAGTTCCTCTTCCCAGAATTCTCCTAGACTGATAGCCCCACTTATACTTCCTGCCTGGCTATATGCCACCTGTCCAATGGCCAAAACAGCTTTATTCATCAACCAGTAAGAGAAACATATATTCACAGCATACAGAAGGACATCCCCCCATCAATCCAGAGTGGTCTAGGGTTTAATATGCCATCATAGCCTTTTCTACCCCAAGCCCCTGGCAAGAGAATTGCTTACCTTTATACCAAGGAGGTTGCAAAAACATTCAGTGTGTGCTCAGATGGACAGGGCCTGCCTGTGGTGGTTCCATGTGAGCTGAATGTGTCAACGGTGGGTCAGGCTTGCTTTCCTCATGGGGAGATTGCCTCATGGGGAGATTGTGGTGAAGGCAGGAGCAGAGAGTCAGGAAGCGAAATAAACATGAGAGACTTTTAAACCATGGAAAGAGAAATGTCACAGTGTAGGGAGACACCGTAATCACTCCTCTTAGTCGTGCAATCGGTTGTGCCTTGACCCGACGCTACCAAAGTTCCAGCGAACAGTTTTTCAGATCCAAATCAAACCAACCGCAGCTGAATACCTGCGCCACCTGCTGGTCAAGGTGATGTCAAGGTGACATGGTAAAGGTTTAAAGGGATAGCCAAGGCACATGGTGGCTCTCTTTTGTCTGCTGCTTTGGCTGGCTCTGGTTTCCTTTCAGTTGGCATTTACTTTTTAAAGATATTCTGACCATTACTGGCTACATATTAGTTATTCATTGTAATAACTGGTGTCAGGAGTGTGGTAAAAGCCTACGGCTCGTTCAGCACTCACTGCAAGTCCCACTGGGACCTCTTCCTCCAGAGCGGAAAGGCCAGGAAAGGCCGCCCAGGCCAGAAGCTGAGTGACACAAGAGGGCTCTTGGACACTGCTGCGCTCCGCTCCGGATCCCCGAGCAACCAATCACACTACTTTGACCCGCCCGAGCACGGAGATCCCACTCCTGACATCAGTTATTACGATGAATAACTGTGTAAAGTTGTAAACTTATATCCAGACAATTTACTTCAAAGACACTTCATAGACTGATCTGATCTAGTTTTGGTCCCTTGAGTGCTGGCATTTGGTCTCAGGATGTGGCCACTGTTCCCCCTCTACCTGTCCTTCCGCACACAGCTGTTTACCCTAAGTGTATATATGGTGGGGAGTTAAGTAGGTTTATTATTGGTGCTTGCAGCACTAGCTGTTTTATTGGATGGGGAAATCAAGACCACGTGTAGTGAATGGTTGAATTCAGGTTGATGTAACCTTTCTTTCTCTGTGTTTTGTCTGAGCAGGAATCCTTGGTTATCTCCGTTACCCTTTTCTTGCTGGATGGAACAGAAAGATAATCAGGGTGCGTGTGAACATCAGACTTCCGCAGACAGAGGTATGGGTTCTGACTTTGAGAACTCTGAGGACAGAGAAGGGGATCCAGAAGAAAGAGGAATGGGCTCCAATCCACAAGACACGGAAGAGAGGAGCCACCTGGAGCACGATATGGACTCTAACCCACAGGATGACGATCTAAGAGGGGACTCACAAGAGAGAGAAATAGTGTCCACTGTCTGTCCAGGTGAGAAGACCAGAGTATCCATGGAAATTACCGCATTAACATTTACATTTGGTTCCTCTGGCATACAACCAGGACCAGCATCTTGGGAGTCTAGCGGGAGGGCTCTCTAGAGACCACTGAGCAGGATTCTCAACTGACTTGGCTCTCCTAGTGTTGGTCCTCTGAGCACTTTTTCTTTAATACCATTGAGGCCATGCTGGTAAGTATGAGTAAAGGGTCACTCATGGGTGCTGCCTTTTGCTATGGATGGCTACTTGTACCAACACTACAGTGGAATCACACGCAATACTGGGGCCTCACTAACAGATGCTGGGAGAGTGACATTATGTGTTGGATTTAAAGAGTGACTAGGAGCCTAGAGAGATGGCTCAGTGGTTAAGAGCACCTGAGTTTGGTTCTAGCACCCATATTAATCGGCTCACAACCACCTGGAATCAGTTCCAGGGGATCAGTGTCCTCTTCTGGTCTCTGCAGGCTCCTGCATGAATGTGGCACACACACACACACACACACACACACACACACACTCACATACACACATTATAGATAAATATTTTTTAAAAATATTTCAAAAGCGACAGCACAGTGCTGGGAAAAGTATATTGATATTTCTAGCTAAGTCATCATTTCCCTCTCTAGATAAGCAAATTCAGTGGTTAAGTGATTCACCTGTGATCATGAGGCTGGTTACCCAAATGCCTAAGTTCCTGTTTACGATCCTTTCAGGTCAGCTATTTCTGACCTGAAAGCAAATCCTGGGTCTCTAGCTACTTCCTTGTTTCTGTGTTTGGACATTGGTTGCTTTGTCCTGTTCAGGGTATACAGCAGGGACTGAAAGAGCTGAAACTATGGCCAGGACCCTGGTTACATTCCTTTCCCTATGACAAAGTCCCAGATGCCCCCACTGCCCTCCTCCAGTTCATACACACACGTGGCCCTCACTTCCCAGTAACTTCCTTGAGAGCTCTTTGCTTGAGGGGGAAACAGCCAGAGACAGACAGGTATATATTCTCTACCAGTTTATAACCTGGTCTTACCAGTTCTGGGCTGTCTGTCATCCCTTACCCATCTTCCAGTGCTGAGTTCAGTTTGCTCATAGGTATGACCAACCTGCTGCTGAGGACAGCTGTGAGTGCTACCCAACACATAAATGGAATGCAAACTCGAGGTGTGTGTGTGTGTGTGTGTCGTGTGTGTGAGGTCAACCTCAGACATTGTTCCTTAGGAGCCATCTAACTTGAATTTTGTGATGGGAGTCTGTTTGGCCTAGAGCTCACCAAGATAGGCTAGGGTGACTGGCCAGCAAGCCCCAGGGAGATCTGCCTGTCTCTGCTTTCCCCCTAGAGTTGCAAGCACTACGAATCCCACTTGGCTTTTGGGTGGTGGGCTATCAAAATCAGGTCCTCATGCTTGCATAGCTGTTTAAAGATAAATGATCTTTCCTGAGTTTTTCCCCCTTAAGCTTGACTGTTTGCTTCTTTAGCACAGACTTTTGCAGACTGTAACACGGTGTTGCAATATCAAAGGTTGGGTATGCTCTCAAGCTGTTGCAGATTGACCCAATGGTTTTGTTTTTGTTTTAAAATCAGTTCCGGACCTGATGCCTCCAAGTAGTCTCTTTTACTTTTCATGATTAGCCTGATTTGTGTTTTGAGGCTCTAGTGTTAAAGAGTATGGTTGAGCAAATAACACTTTTTCCTTACTTTTCTGGAGACAGAACTCTGTCTCCTGAGTCCCTGTCTGGTACAAAACTGGCCATCTGGCAGACTTCCGGTGGTTCAGCTAAAAGCCTGGGTATATAGTAGATGGGGTCTGCCAAAAGCCTGGTTGGCAGTGGGGCAGAGTGCACTGTCCTTTAGGTCTTACCTGGAGGAAACCGGTGGGGAAGAGGCTGAAGTATAATAAAGAGGCTGGGTGGAGTGGAGTTTGGAAGTACCCGGGAGAGGCATTACTCCTTTGGCTCACAATCTCTGAAGGGCAGTTTTCCTTGTACACCAGGTCTAGTTGACACCCATTGTCAACTTGTCTGTTGCAGAAGGGCTGCTGAGTGAGGAAGAAGGGACTGTCCTCCGTGAGGAAGAGGACGACCAGCCTGGCGTGGCTGACATGGCACTGTTCCCAGGCCTGTCAGAATCTGACAGTATATCCCGGAGTCCCCAGGGAGAGGAAGAGGAGGAGGAAGAGGAGGAAAGCGCTGGGGAGAACCGGCTGATGGAGGAGGAAGAGCAGTTGCCTCCCCCGATGCTTCCCTGGAGGCGTCACCTCTCACTGGGGGGTCCACACCGAGGTGACAAACCTGCGCATCGCCGCTTCCACCGGTTGCATCACCCCATGGCCATGGACCTCGGGGAACTCGACAGCCTCATGGCCAGCATCATGGACGCGCCCACCATCTGCCCGGACTGCGGGGAGAGCTTCAGCCCGGGGGCTGCCTTCCTGCAG